ACACACACACACACACACACACACACACACACACACACACACACACACACACACTTAAGAAGTGTAAGATTTATGGGAGCCCTGTGATGGACTGAGACCTGTCCAGGGTGTAACCCCGCCCCTCGCACTGTGACTGCTGGATATGGGCACCAGTGACCCACGCGACCCTGAAAAGGAAGAAGCGTGTACAGAAAATGGATGGATGGAAGATTTATGGGCCCTGTAGCTCCTGGGATTGTGCTGTTCTTAGCTTGTGGTTGATCTCCACACTGAAGCTGACTTGAACACATTAAAAGTTAAAATAAGTTGAAGCTTTTTCAGGACATTTAGTTTAATGGTCAGGGTTAGTTTAATAAGTTTTTCCTCTTGGAGCTGGAGGACCAGAAGGCTGCAGCATATGGTGGACAGGAAGCGTGCTGACTCTGAGCCTGGATCCCACTGAGCGTCTCTTTAAATATGATCTTTAGTTTTGTTGTGTTTGTCCACTGCGGTGCAGGACGGCTGAAAAGCTTTTACATTTGTTGTTGTGGATAACTGACAGTGAGTGACTCAGGCTGGTTTGTTCAACACAAACATAAGATAACAGGAAACATCTGAGGTCAGCTCGTAGACCAACCAGACGTCCAGGGAACACAAAGACCTGCTTCAGGAAGGAGAAATGCAGCTGATGGAGGAAACTGGTTCAAAAGGTTTTCAAAAGTTGAACGAGGTTATGAATCCATTTCTCACATTCAGAACAGTTTTGTTTCCATTAATTTCACATTTCCGCTCCTTTTCATTAATGTTTCAGTGATCCAGCAGCTGCCATCTTCTGTCAGTTTTCATGCAGAATGTCAGAGGTCTTTCTTTTTATTATTTACAGCAGCTCCTCTGTTAGCTACCTGTGAGGAAACATCTGAATATGTTCATCAAATCCATTCATGTGTAAACTTCTTACACGGTCTGTCCTTTGACATGTAAAGAGTTGATGTGTGACTGCAGCAGATTCTGCTGATCATCATGTAAAACCACAGAATAAATCTCATGCGTCTCCTGACAGAAGGAGCTGTAACTCAGGTTATAGGCTTTGTTAGCAAATTCCAGGAATGATGAGAAAAACTGATGTAAAAATCTGAACAAGTTTCCTCCAACATGCTGTTGAATAGGGAYGGGCAACTGGTGGCCCACGGGCTGGATGTGGCCTCTGAGTGATTTCTTTTCAGCTCTGCCACTTTTTTTCTTACATAAAAAAGTCTGAGAATCTAAAAACTGTTTTGAGTGTTTTTTTAAAGTAGTTTTAACTTTAAAAGGCACCATCTAAGAGCTGCTTTGAGTGTATTTTAGGTTAAATTATTTTTGGAGGTAGTCTATTGTTCACAGAGTTTCAAAGCAAACCTCTGCACAGCTCTACGTGGTCCTCTGATAGTGCCAACAAAAAACTGTGTCCCCTTCCATCATTAAGCTGCCCATCCCTGCTACAGAAGTAAAAACACACAGTATCACACACATTATGTGTTACTGATGGCTGTCAGCAAAAACAATCCTGTTACTGTGAGCCCTGAGGGCTTTTACAGGTCATGTCACCTGAAAATACACAGCAGAATAAATCAAGAACAGCTCCACAGTTAGAAGGTTTACATGCTAACTCTTGGTACCTCTGTAAAGGTAAGGTCTTAAAGATAAGTTCTTAAGTGAAACCACTGTTGTAACTCTTACTGTGCCAAGTTGAAGTAAATTCATTTCACAAAGGTTTTAGTGAGCAGTGTGCCAGGTGGACATGGCATTTTGGCACAGTTTAGCCAAATGTACCCAAAACTGTGCCAAATGTGTTTTTTACTTTATAAAAGAGAATCTGTTTTAATAAAAGTGTTGATTTCTATTGTAGGACTCATTCTGCATATGACATAACCTTTTCTTTTTACATTTACACTGTGCATCATCTAAAACCTACCATTGTGCACACCATGAAATCATTGAATGGAACCAAACTCTGCCTCCACRTTTTACACATGAGGGCTGTTATTTATACTCTCAGTTACACACAAACTTCACGTCACCAAACAAAGAGTAACACAGTGTCAAGATACATCCCTGAATTTGTGAGAGCTTCTTCTTTTCAACGATACCAAAGGGAGGGGTGTGGAACCAAAAACTTGTACAGTAACAGATGTGGAGAACTTCCTGATACTGAAACGGTCCATGACGGTTCAAGTAATTTACAAATGTTTATATAGCTCTAAAATCATAGATATTTATCCAAAAATAGTTTGGCGACTCATTTTAAAAACATTAAAGACACCTTTTCTTTTCTTCTTTACATTGTTCTTTTTATGTACAGTGCTCTGAGACAACGTAGGTTGTGACTTAGCGCTAAATAAATAAACTTAAACTTRAACTTTTTTTGACAAACAGAAAAAATTTGTGAAAAATAAGTTTTACACCTAACAACAACAATGGAAGATGGCATCATTACAGAACAGGTTGTAGAGGCTCATTAGATGGAAAACAAACACATTTAAAACATCTCATCTTATAAAGACATAAACATTAAAGGCAGATCTGTGGGTTTACAGAGTACAGAGTACTTACAGCGTCGCTGTCTTGTCCTCCAGGTTCAATCATGTAGGTGTGATTTCCATCGAAAAACATTCCACTGGACAAAGAAAGAAGTGAAGACAGACAGGTCATTTTAGCTTTCTGTTGTTTTTATCATAACTCAGCTCTTTAAACCAACATTAGTTTACTGTCTGTTCCAGATATTTCATCTGAAAGATTCGTTCTGTAAAAGAACAGCTTTGGACGACTTCTCTTTCTCTGTCCATGGTGCTAATTTCAGCAGGAGTTCTGTTCAAAAACATTCAGAAACTGGCACCGAGTTTAACACATCTGTTACTGKGAAATATTCATTCAGTAAATATATATGTAGCAGTTTTATTCAGGGTGTTCAGATTAAGACTGGTGAAAGAGATTAAAAGATGAGAATGTGTCCTGGTCAGATCAGTAACATGAACAGATGAACAGACAACAGATGGTTGTCAGATCTGCTCCTACATCTRAAAAATATATTTTACAGCCTCCTGCAAAGAGACCATCACTCTGCAGGAAGTTCACATCTCATTTTTCAATCCTGCTATAAATAGAAGATTTCACAGGAGTAAACAGAACGGGTTCAAAACATGGTGTGAATTATTTAAGAGCCTCAAGAAAAAGAGAGTCCAGATTATGTAACGTCTGAAAAAGTCAAATCTGTTCTGTAACAACAGATAAAAGCTAAACTCAGCTGTAGCAGAGCGACAGCAGACATGAAGGATGAAACATTTTGTGACGTACAGAAGGACAGAAGTCTGATGAAGATATCAAGTTCATGGTCCAGTCAGTTCAGACAGTTTCATTTTGCTTCCAGACTATTTTATACTGTTTCAAACTGATCTGGATTAACAGTTCAAACTTTTTGTAGGTTTGATAAAGTTGTTGTTTGGACTTTGGACGTTTTCAGAGAAACGTTGGTCAAACCAATAAAGTGACGTATGAATCTTTCAGACATGTAAAACAGCTCCTAAACTCAAAGGATGAACCATTGTTGTGTGTGCCGTTGTGTGTCAACACACAACAGCAACTTTGCAATTCATGTCAAGAGCAAGAACTAGACAAAAAAAAAAAACAATTTAAAAAACAGCCCAAGTTTAAAAAAGGAAGCCCAGCAGCTGTAAGACAGGTGATGACTGCAGGTGTCTTTGTCCAAAAAGCTTTAAATCAAAGCTCCACACTTTAACAGACTCGTCTCTCACTCCCTGGCTTTGCTGCAGAAAAGCTTGGAGTTATGTTACGTTCAGGAACACAGGAAATAAATGTTTCCCGACACACAGAGTGCTCAAATGTCCTCTCATGCAGAGAAGTAGTATGAAGAATGATCTGTTCAGACGGAACCATGGAGGTGTAAACAAACCTACACAAACATCAATAAATAAAAACAAGTGTGGGTACCTTTCAACAGGTAAACATAAAAACAACATTTTCATTTTTAATTTGACTCCAAACATGTCTGTATCTCTAACAGAGAAACTGCTGCTCTAAATTACACAGTGGCCACAACTTATTATTTCTTGTGGCCACTCATWAACTATCTTGTAGTCACACATTATTTTGTGGCCATGCATTAGCTAGGTTGTGGCCTCAAATAAACTCTCTCATGTCCACATGTTATTATCGTCTGGCTGAATAGGCTTACACACGGCCATGCATGAACTATTTTGTGGTCACATATAAACTATCTGGTGGCCCCTGGTTATCTTGTGGCTATGCATTAATTATATTGTAGCCATGTATTMACTAACTTGTGGCCACACGTTATCTTGTAGCCATGTGTAAACTATTTTGTGGCCACATGTCTTGTGGTTACATTATTATCAATCTTGTGGCCATGCATTAATTAATTTATTTTTATCCAGTGTCACTGGACGGCTTCCATAGTCTGACAGTTCTGAAGTAAATCAAGATAAACTGTAACGAGTGGTTTAATAAGTTTTAATAAAAAGCTCTAATTAACAACAAAAAAAGCACAAATTTGTAAATATTTTCAGACCTAAGTGTTGCATAACAACATCTTTGACCYTTTATTATCTAACAGCACACTTTTAAAACATTTAATTGTCTGTAATGACTTTAGGGATAATCTGGTTATTTAATCTGTCCTGTTAGTTGTGGGGATTAAATATGAACTGAAACATTGTCTCTGAAGGGATTTCTGATAATACACTGTTTCTAAGTGCAAAGCCACAAAACAGGACAAAAGACACACAAGCCTTAACACACTGCCACAAGAACCCAGGAACCATCATGTGTGAAAGTTCAGGCTTCAGGCTGAACCTGTGTCTGCACATTTCTGCTGTTAATTAACTTAATCTGAAGCTTTTAGGAGATTGTTCAGGTCAAACTGTGAAGTCAGGAGGGTAAACACCGCAGGGACGTCCATCTTTGTCCTTAAACTCTTATTTTCAGCCTTTCCTGTCTTCAGCTCAGAGAGTCACCTTCAACACACTCACACTTTGTCCCACAGTGGACTCACAACAGATTACACTCAGCCACAGAGAAACAAAACACAGATTCACCTGCAGGGTTGTATAAAGTACCTCAAAGTGATACCTGAGTAAAAGTACAAGTATCTTATCATAAAAATACTTTGGTAAAAGTTAGTCTTCTCTAAAAATATTACTTGAGTAAAAGTCT